GTTCCATGAGTACTACAGTATTAGGAATTTTAGCCAAGCAGTAATCTTGCTCATTATGTAATAAGCTGTTCAGGGCAACTAAGCAGGTGTAACAATTATTTCACTGAAATCCCGAGAACTTTCCTGGCATTTTAGCATGGATATGAAAACTTTAATTACAACTTTACCTTGGCACCCCAAAAAAAAAAAATTGCAAAAACTCCAAAATGGCTACATGAGGACAAATTAGGCATTTTGGTTGGGATTTATTATTATTATTATAAAAAAATTTAATTTCAAGAAATTTCATTTTGATATTTTTCTGCCATCCCATGAAGAAATTTCTTGCAAATTATTTATGTGATAGTTATCAACATAATTAACGAATTGCTAGAATTACTTCTTTGGATTTTTTTATATTTAACAAATACTTTTTTTTTTTTTATACTGTACTGCACTATATTCAACTTCTGCTAATCTATATTTTTTTTAATAACGAAAAAGTACAGCCACCAAATTCTTCATATTTCTTTGCTCTTTCAAACGAGATCTTATTTTTTAATATCGGCCCATAAATAAAGGAAAATTTTCTGAAAAGGCTATAAAAAAAAACTATTTTGGATAAGCGAACTGCGGTCGAGGGCTGCGGCAAGCATGCTGACTTCCCTTATTTGAATGCTAGTCTAGCACCTCCTTCCTCCCTCCACATCTCAGTAGTATACCATAAAGATGCCAGACAGCACCAGATAAAACAGAAGTAAGTTATCTTTTCTAATTAATTTTCTTTGAATATTTTACTAGAGGTTATTGATACACATCAGAATGACCTTGAGCACGCACGTGAGAGGGGGCATTTAACTGTCAATTGCCAAATCTTCGTAAATAACTTTGATATTGTGGGAGTGACTACTGGAAGGGCGCACAAAGCTCCGTGAATTTTTTATTTTTTTATTTTAAATATTATTTGGCCATCTCACCTCAGTCGGTTTCCTTAAGCAATCATATCTAATAATGTGAGAGAGTGTGTGAGTGTCTTTAAGCACTTTCACATCAACCTCAGTGTAAGGCCTCATAAAAAAACTCATCTGAAGATGACACATCACCCCAGTTGTGGCTAGCTAAACTTCAAAGGGTCATAACATACACACACATAAAAAAAAAAAATCCAGAAAAGAATCTCCTGGTATATAGACATTATTTAACTATTTGAACTATATTTTATGAAATTCCAATGAATATAGTTTTATACAGTATGGTACTGTATATGGATTTAAAAAGTCCCGATTACTGAAAGTTGCAGACACACCACTCTATCTTATGCCCCCATGACACATGGACGCACGCACGCACAAAAAACATGATTATTGCTCCTGCTAATTCTAGACCAGCTGAGCTAAAAAATATATATATTAAAAATTCTGGCAGGCATCTGGTCAAGTTTCTGAGGAAACACAATGTCAAGCGTAGAAAGGATGTTTCAGTGAAGAGGTAGACTTTGCTCGGCAAAAATGTTAGGTTTCTGAAGTTGAAATCTACATTTGTTTCAAAAAGAACTTCAGTGTTTATGAAAAATGATGTGGGTATTGGTATAAAACAAAAACTATTTTGTATAAGAAAGTTGGTATTAATGGCATAGACAAAATCTGAAAAATTGAAGTATGGAGAGCAATATTGTTCCAGAAAAATAAATTAGGTGTTGGAGAGCAGTTGGTAGAGTGTAAAGGTAAAATAGTTATTGAAAGGATGGCCAGTGAGTGTAATGTATTTCTGAAGCAAAGTGAAATGACACAGAATTATGCAATAGCATTTACTTTTCCAGTGCATCAAGGTAAAGGAAATAAATTCAATGCAGGACTTATATAGGAATAAGTCTACATAGAAGCAGATCTGATGAAGAGCACAGTAAGACTGTGACTGAGCATGCCACTAACACTACAGAGTGGGAAGTAAATCTTTTTTAACATTGAGGTACTGTAGTTAAAGGGAGAGTTTTAGATATGAAGGTGAGTGCTTCATTCATGAACTGAGAGAGACCAGAGGCAAAGAAGAATACAAATGTAAGTAGAGGTTAAGGATTCACTTTATATACTTTGTTTAGAAGTTGAGGATATGAGCAAGTGTGAAGAATCTTTCTACTTGCAGTTTCTACCTCTTCCCGTCACTTTATAACTTTCCTAACTCTATTCATCATCACTTTATTGTGGTTATTTTCCAGGCTTGTGTTGGTTGGCCATGATTACCTGATAGCATGGTGTCTCAGCTGCCACCAGGCAAATTTGAAGCCCCTCTTTTCACCAAACCTCTTTTACAGATTTGTTCCCTTGACTTTCTCTTTCATAAAAATGGATAGGGAAAAATATCAGGTATAAAGACAGATATAACTAACTTAATTCCCTAAACCACGCAGAGAAAACTTTCATGTTCCTAAAATCTTCTACAGATAAAGCAATGAATCCATGATAGTTCAAAATGTTATGATAAGATGGTATTATGACAAGTGACCATTTCACTGTTGCTATGGGTGTTTACTGTCCATATGAAAGAAGTATGTAAGGTTAGAATATCAATGAATTACTAAAGATTCTCTAAATCAAAGAAAGAGTAACACAAATCAAATGTACTGTAAGAGGATTTGAAGTAATTTTTTGTAATTTGTATGATTTAGTAACAAGACATTGGTTCTAGTATAATGTGCAGATAGAGTATGCTGATGTCAGAGAGTAAGTTACAGCAATGTTGTGTTTGAAAGAGAGGCAATTTCAATGTAATGTTCATATGAATGGCATGTAAGAAAAGTGTCAAAAAATATAGATATTTAAGCAGACACAGACATGAATAAAGGAAAAAATTCTGTACTGTACATAAATCTAAGGAAGATTAAAGATATGTATTCATGAGAATTTGGTGAATAAGAAACTAAAAGATAAACATAATAAATTTAATACAGTTGCAATTAATGTGAAAACTTTAGTCTGTTCCATATCCTACATTTTAGGAGATAAAGTTTTGAAAAAGTGAAGAAATGTGTTGTTTTAAGAATTATATCTTTGATGAGGTTTGTGTCAATTGTTCCATCTCATGTGGACAAAGAGGCTGGAAAGACAAATGGACTGACATGAAAATATTGTAATGATATCTTCTCTTTCCTGAACAAAATGTTTGAAGTTCCATATCAAAGATAAAGAAAACTAGGATAAAATCTCCCCCCCCCCCCAAAAAATAAAGGCCATACAATTTTCTAAAAACTTAGTGTTATTTTCATTTTTCTAAAAATATTAACATACTGGATAGAAAGAGCTATGCTTTAAAAAACTTATCCAAGGAGCAATAATGAGGCATCTTGGTATCATAATAAAAAACTTAATGAAGAGCACAAACTTTAAGGCTAATACTGACACACAGGAAACAATATCATCTTTTATGTAGCTCATGCATGTGAACTCAACATGATGCACAGCAAACCTAACTGTACCCTGAGTGCATGCAGTCACGATATAAGAACAATTATTGACAATCATACGAATAAGAATTAATAAAAGATGTAAGATTTTGTTGACTTGCAGATGAATAGCACCAACAAGGAGACAAATTCAAGTTTTGAAATACAATATTGGATGAAAAGAAAATTTGCACATTATATTATTTGAGAATACAGATAAACAAAATTAAATAAGTTTTTGTGTACATATGAGAATAACGACAACTTTGTAAATATTACTCACTGCCAGTTTAGGGCAAATTATGGTTCTGGCAATCAAGAAGTCTGTGGGTTACATCTCCTTTATTTGATGCTGTCAACCTTTTGCTGATAATAACACACTGAACATAGACTTAGCCATAACACATGGGTATGTGTGGTTATGTGATAAAGTATTAATTCCATATTCGTGAAGTCTGCCCTTAATTGTATACTATGCCCAGATGTCCACTGAGTTCATGCATTAGTAAAGATAATATGCTGTATGCTAGATAACCAATATGAACAAGTTTTACCATACACTAGGAAGTTTACCAATTGAATAAAATATAAAGCAATAATAATAATAACTTTAGATTTTAAACTGTCCTTATGGCCATTCTTGTTAAAATATTTGATTACGACTGTTGCTGTTGTACTGTACTGGTTTCCTCATAAACTGTACATTATAAGTAATCTAAAAGCATTATGAATGTGAAAATGGTTAGCAATGAGAAGCTTTTGTAAAGGAATGAGAATACTGTACTGAAGAATATTCAAGACAATACACAAAAGTATACACAAACTGCTTACAACTAAAAATAATTAATGTTGAGGCTAAGCACATGTGTATCTTCCTCAAATCACAACAATTAAAAGCTCAACAAAAATCACTCCCATCTGCCAACAGGAAATAGCTACTTGTTCAGGAAGAGGTTTGACTGACAGAACTTGAGCAACATATCAAATTTACATCTTGTAGTGCAAGATAGAGTACCATATATCCATCCTCATAAGAGTAAGAACTAATTGCCTTAAAAAAACTCAAGCTTCTGAGGGAAAATGTACTGTGATGATGCTCTCAATGCCAAGTTAATGACATGTATTAATGCTATCGTTAGAATCAATCTTCTATCATTTTCATTATTTGTTTTTTCTTGAAGTTCTACATCATGACAAGTGAAATTACTTGAGATCTGTTATCCCTGATATACTATACTGTATCTAATAAGTAATGTGCTGGTGTGTTAAGTACTTCTAGTAATAATATATACTTGTTGTAACTATCCCAGATATCATTAAATTTATAAATACAATATCTTAAATGATGATCAATAAACTTTCAATCTCACCAGATTTCTGTGGATTGGAAAATAAAATATGTTCTTCTTCAAAGATGAATTTCTAGAAACATTTTCATGGCATGTAATAATCAAGCTACTTAAGTACCAACCAATAGTAATTATACTAAACAACAAAGACACAGGCATGAATTCAACCCTCAAAGGCAAACACCAGCACATTAGGCCCAGCCATTCATTCAGTACAACATGCTGGTGCCTACCCATCTCGCACGTCTTGTTGGGTCAGTCCGAAAAGGTCAGCAGGCCAGCTTTAGGGTGGAATGTGAAAACTTGTAAGGTACATTAGAGTATGAAAGCACAGGTGTAACTATATAGTCTACCAATATCATGTTGTGGTCACCTCCCACACTTAAAGCAGGGTGGCACATGCAGTCCTTCAATTACATCTCAGTTACTAACATCTTCAAGTGTTCAACACCCAAAGCAACACTAAAAGTCTCAGCTAAAAAAATTCCATATTGAGCTAACTATAAAATAAGTAAAATAAATAGAGCTGAGTATAAAATAAGTAAAATAAATACACAATATCTATATAATAGAGAGCAGGATGGTATATGCATAATTTTTCCAGAATATTTCACTAATCTACCATCATCACATGTTCCATTATCCTAACAGTAACAATTAAAATGAAGAATTGTCAATGTTTGCTTGGCTCTAAAACAAGTGAGGCAATAGCCATTCACTTATACTGTACAGTACTGAGAGATATGTGTCAAAATAATCAAAGTTGTTTTAGCAAGAAAGGATTCAAAAGAAATGAAAAGGTGTGAGAAAGACAAACAATAAGGAATAAAAACTTAAGAAAATGTCATTATTCAAATGTAAGTCTGCAGACTGTGACAGATTACTGCATCAAACAACTTATAAACGTAATCTAAGAACAATCCACCAATATAAGGAGAGCAAACATTTTATATTTTCATCATTGTCTCCACGGTAAATGAGGGGCAATGGGCAAATAATCATACTGTACAGTATTTAATAAAATGTAAAGAAGCACAAAAACTATAGCAATATCAGAGAAATATTCACCTAATTTGGGGAAGGATAAGGATAAGCAAAATAAATTTTTCACAAAGAACATCTGTGCTCAAATCATTATACTGTACAGGTATACTGTAGTGTAACAAGAAAATTCTTGCTGCACTCATTTTTAGAGAACGCATGAAATCACATAAATTGATATTTGAGAGGTGTTTGATCTTCAAGATATCTGAAAACTGATAAATGCTCAAACTGAAGGTCAATTAATGAGGTCTCCTGTTTGTGAGATTGTAGTGTTTTGGGCGGCTTGGATGAACTTAAAGAGCAGGTCAAGATTAAGTCATCTTCCCATAACTGTTAAAAATATTTATAACTGGGGGTTACCTGAGATAAGAGAGAGAGTGCAGTGTATTGTACTGTATAGCTAAACAAGAGGCTGATGTGAAACTATTCCTAACAATGATAAATTCTCCTCCATCACCTTGGACAGCTAATACCTCAAGAAGTCCAACAAATAGTTTTGGTGAAATATACAGACTTGAACAAAAAATTTAACAGCTAATACAATAACAGCAAAGCACTGGTAATTGGATGAGAGGGGCAGTCTTACTAATGTTAGCATGAATGCCAAAAACTTGGGAATAACTACATGGAGGGTTTGTATTAACACCAATAGGGTAGTAGAGGTTATCTGCTGAATGTGACAAAAAAATTTTTTGTAATGCCTCAATTTTTACTAAATACCAAAACAAGAGTGTCAAATAGCCATCAAATTTAAGCTGTAAACATACTAACATCATGATAATCTCAGCGCAGCAGAAATAAATTGTCTATGTCATATTATAGTAAGAAAAATTATTGAAATGGCTGAGAAAGAAGAATTAAGAGAAATGAATGAACAAGTTATTACCAAGAAATAATGGGAAACTATAACCACTTGGCAGACAGTACTGTATGCCATCACTGTACTGTACATCATCCCATCTCTTAGCTTGTAATTTACTGAGTCACCACTTAAAGCTAAACTATATTTCACCAACAGTATTATTTTTTCTTCTAAATCTAACCAGCCCTCACCCCACCCAATTAGCTCCAATTCCTCTTATCTGTTACCCTCTACTCTTATAATCAGTAAATCCCTAAATTAATCCCCTTTACCATTTCTGCTACAGTCTACAGTTGTATGATCATAAGAACTCAATATTATCATTACCCTCTCTCACCAGTATTATCTCCCGAGTGTCCACATAACATGATATAAACAAACTTTGACAAAAAAAAAATGTGTTACATTATTTATACCTTAATTGTTGTTGTTCTTCAAGCTGGGTAATAAATTCTTTGCGTGCTTTCTCGGCCTCTTCTTCAGCCTCTAGTCTTCGGAGAATAGCTTCAGCTTCTATTTCAAGGGCATCTCGACCATCCCTAATAGGCAAAAAGAAACTGCTTTGTTTACATTTGGGGTATAAATCTAATGTATGAAATGAACTTTTTATTTCTATTAAATATAAGTTATCAGATACCATATAACATTGTCAATATACACTCATACGTAAGAAAAAAGTGTACAGTACAAAACGGTATCCCTAAAACATCTGACAAGTAAGGTAGACAGAGGTAATTAACATCCAGACAATGGCATTTCTGGAGAAAAAAAATCCTGAAATCCCATGCTCTGGGTGACTCGTGTACAATCAATAAGTCTACAAGTTTGGCAATCCTGGATTTCCATGAATCCTGATATACTGTACATGACTGGGACAAAATTCTAATTATTCCAAAATAGTACAGTACAGTAAGTCCGCGCTTAACGTTGCCCCACTTAACATTGCTTCAGTACTAAGTCGAAAAACTTGAGTCCAAAAATTAATTTAACGTCCCGGTGATCCGATACTAAATCGTCTTGCGTCATCACGGACTACTTTCTACAGCGAATCACCCTCTCTTGTTTGGCCGAGCTTCGCTCTCTCGGCTCGGAGCAGTCTCAGTGACTCACCACCCTCCTCCTCTACCGCCCTCCTCCGCTCCCACCCTCCTCCTCCGCTCCCGCCATACTCCTCCGCTCCCACCCTCCTCCTCCCCTCCCGCCATCCGCCTCCTCTGCTTCACTACCCACCATACACTCGCTCTACCACCTCCGCCCATCGGTGAGTACCAATACAAACTTAGTAGTTGTATATGTATGCACTATTTTCTGTATATGTAATGCATTTCATGGGGCAAAGGGAGGCTCAAGAACGTAACTCCAGTATTTTATCTATTTCTTATGGGGAAAATTGATCCACTTAATGTTGTTTTTAGGAATGTAACCCCGACGTTAAGCGAGGACTTACTGTATCTCTACTGATATATGCATAGCCCTTAAAATGGGGGTACTTCCCAGTTAGGCCAAGAGCTAAGAGTCCCCATCTGCAAAGTTAACAAACATGATCAGTCATTGGTTACAACACACTGTCATTGGTTACAACTAGGCAATTGGACCAATCCCACTCAGTTTTAGCTCATCTCAGCAAACTACAGGAGCCACCCATTCCAGGCTTGGTTATAAAATGGGATTTCAGAATCAATCCCTCAACTATAACTTAGACAATGGTCTGAACAACTTGTGTTCTTCAAGTCAGCTGGTACAGAACAGGACAGTACAGTACAAAGGTTTAGTATTGTATGTTTCTACAGATAGTTTCTTTTGGTGTTTGTATGCTTGTTGTGAGGTAGAGAGTATGGTTGGTGACGTAGTGGACAAATTAATATATGGTAAGGACAAACTCATTACCTGGTGTGGGCAATACACAGATGTCAGTCTAAAAACAAGCATGAGCCCTCAGTGTCCCATTTTTGACATTGTTGAAATATTCAGCAATTTTTTCAACATTGAGACCTAAATGTCCAAATTATCTGAAATCATCAAATTTACCCAAGCAACTTGCTTGAGCCAGCTAAAATAAGAATGTTGAAGTGGATGTGCAAAGTGACACCTAAATATCAGAAACTCTGTTCAGAACTAAGAGGGCTGGGTTTCAAGAGTACAGAACTGTATTGGTAAAGTCTTATGTAAAAGTAAGCTGGGAAGGTTTGGGCATGTGGCGAGAATAAAGGAGAACCAGGTATGCCAGGAAGTGCATGGGGAAATGTTGTAAGATATGATGTTACAGTTAAGAGACTGCATGAGACTGCACATGAAGAGCTGTCATCAGATAATCACAGCTAATCCACACAAGAGTGGAAAATGGCAGTAAAATGTTGAAGTAGTTGTTGTTGATGATGATGATGATGATGATGATGATGATGATGATGATGATGATGATGATGATGATGATGATGATGATGATGCTGATGCTGATGAGTATCCAGTTTACCATACCCATGGATTTCCACAGCAACCATGGAAAAAATCCAGCCTTGTGCAGCAGCATTGCAGGGTGGCTGGGATCACAGTCTCAATGGTTGTGGGTGAAATGCATGGAACAATGTCTGAGTGATATCATAACAGCCCCCTACCCTTATTGCACTCTCTTGCTTTTTTCATATAAATTCTCGCCAACAAACCTCCCTGTGATACTGCACTTATAAACTCATATATCTTTCTTTCTATTTTTGAAATATGACTTTCAAGTGTAAATCTAGTGATGTGGGCTAGTACTACTCCAAAGAGGACAAGGAGAATAATATCATTGGTACAAAAAGTGAAATTCTTTGATCCACTTGCATGTGGATAAAGTGTTGTACCCTTCGCAAGCATTTTTATTTTAACAAATTAATTGTAATTAGTAAAAGAAAAACAAGGTACCACTAGAGCCAATGTGGTCCACCGTGCTGCAAAGTTCACCAAAGGTGACTATAGTGCATTTTTTCCCTGGTGAGAAGAGATGCCCCACCCACTCCTCAAGAGTTACAGCTGATTGGCTGTTGTAAATCGGTCCAATTTCGTCCTCAATAATGATGTATTTCTAAATGAGTTTATTCATAATTGTTGGGATAACCGTTTCTGACGAGAAAGATATTTAACTAAATTATATGAGATACTGTAAGATAAGAGTACTGTATTTCAAACATGAGCACGTAAGAAGCTTATCAGAAATCTTATGCATGAATTAATTATTAAACTCTGGTAGCAAATTGACGCTTTCAGAGGACGCATTTAATATACTGTATACTTATTTTTACCTACAATAAGGTATACTAAGACAAATTACATATCAGTTACACTACATTATGCAAACACTAACATTTTAAAAGATCAGAATCACAATGAACACGGCTGTCAGCAGAAGCGAGAACTAAGACTGCGAACAACTTCATATTTCCCGCCTCTGCTGACGGCTCGAGCGGCCAAGCTCCTCAGTCTGTCACACTCATCCACCAACTTTCAAGAGTCGTGTAATATTTCAATGTGATTCTGATTTTTGTTTTAAATGTTAATTTTTGCATAATGTAGTATTACTGATATGTTATTTGTCTTAGTATGCCTTATTGTGGGTAAAAATAAGTATACTGTACTGTATATTAAATTGGCCCTCCGAAAGCGTGAAATTGCTACCAGAGTATAACATTTTTTTTCCTTTTTTTTATATTCGGCTACAGTATTAGCTTACCCGGGCACAGGTCGTTTTATAATGACCCACATCAAGGCTTGGGGGACGAAAATGTAATGTAATGTAATGTAATGTAATGTAATGTAATGTAATGTAATGTAATAATAATAATAATAATAATAATAATAATAATAAAAATAATAATAATAATAATAATAATAATAATTGTCACGGGTTCAATTCCCGGGCCGGCGGAAGTTGTTTGGACACTCTTCCTAGTCCCCTTGGTCCCTGTTCACCTAGCAGCAAAGTAGGTACCTGCTGTAAATCGAAAGTTGCGAATTCGTATTCATGGACAAGTTGTTGGAACTTCCAATAACTTGCTCAGACACAAAACCATCGACTCTTCAGGCTTCTACGCCCTTTACTCTTCAGGCTTCTACGCCCTTAACTCATGAGACATACGGCAAGCATGAACTTAGCATGCTTGCCTGTTGGGCGCGGTATTACGCTTCTGCGCTTCACCTTACACAAGGATGTAAGGGGCCAAAAAAAAAATAATAATAATAATAATAATAATACAGGTTGTACCTCTCTAGTACGGCAACCTCGGGACCTGACCGGTGCCGGACCATGGAAATTGCTGGACCATGGAAATTCACTCTTTTCCTGGATAGATAGTGACTTGTGCTTATGCCTGGAAGCACTAGCACCACTTTCTCTGCATCATGGTCTCTTTGAAGACATATTGAAGGGTTAAATGTCGTATAGTAGCTTCTCAAATTTCGCGAGTTTTTAATTCTTAACGTATTTTATTGGAACACACAAAAAAATAAATAAACAAAATCATTGTTTTCGTTGATTATAAAACCAGTGACTGACTGGTTCTACATATAAAACTGAAGAAAATAAGACCTTGGTTGTAGCTGTAGTAAAATTAATATGGTTGTTTTAAGTAATGTTATTAATGTTAATAAATGGAACAATAGAAGTAGCTAACGATAATGGTAAAGAAAAAGAGAGATCGCATATGTAAGTGCGCATGCGCACACGTGAAAACATATCGTCATTACTTTACATAAGAATATGAAAGCAACACTTATTTACTGTTCATATATATTTTAATTAATGTTTCTGAATTTGTTTTTATTGAATTAATGTACGTGTGTGCAAAATTAACAATACAATATATTAATAATACGTGGAATATTAGAGGAGACGAGACCGCTGCCGGCATTGTTTATGTTAAAGCTTACGAAACCAGTGACTGATTGGTTCTACATATAAAACTGAAGAAAATAAGACCCTGAGTTTAGCTGTAGTAAAATTAATGTAAAAAATTGAATATGGTTGCTTGAAGTACCTGTAATGTTATTTAATGTTAATAAATGGAACAATATAAGTAGCTAACCATTAATGGTAAAAAAAAAAGTGAGACTGCTCGTATGTAAGTGCGCACATGTGAAAATATATCGTCATTACTCTACATAAGAATATGAAAGCAACACTTATTTACTGCTCATATATATTGAAGGGTTAAATGTTGTACTCTGTATAGACAAGCAGAGAGAGAGAGAGCAGCCGAACTGCCGGATGTAAACAAACCTTAATTTCCCGCGGCTTTTTTTTTTTAAGGGGATTAGCCCACCCGGGCATAGGTCACTGACCCACATTGGGGCCTGAGGGGCAAAAATTTAATACTCCTGTAATAATAATAATAATTCAAAAAAAAAAAAAAAAAAGCTGCCTATCTACCTATTGGACAAACTAAAATCGTTCCGGACCACGGGAGTTTCCGGACCACAGAATGCCGGACTAGAGAGGTACAACCTGTAATAATAATAATAATAATAATAATAATAATAATAATAATAATAATAATAATAATAATAATAATAATAATAATAATAA